TATTATATATATATATATATATATATATATATATATATATATATATATATATGTATATATATATATATATATATATCAAAACGTCTTTTGCTGTGCATTGTGTTATTTTCCCTTATAAATATGATTTTGATTTCTGTTAAAGATACATTTTTAAGCATGTTTCGAAGATTTCCGGAGTTTCAGTATAGTTAGTTTTGAAGAGATCAACATCATTTGAACACCGTTATATTTATCATATTATCATCAACCAGCGGAAGTGATTTGGACTAAGATTCAAAATTTGGAAGCTGCTGGAGCTTTTAAGTAGTTTTTGGCGCTGACGACTGGAACATTCATCGTTTTCATAGCTGAAGTGATCCGAATTCTAATCTTACATGTATTGATCTGATGATATCCAGCACGAAAAAATTGTCCCGATACAAAAGGCAAGTTTGTGTTCCACTCTTTCCTGATGCATCCTCAGATGTATGAAGGAAGACTGGAGAGGAATGTGAAATGCATTAGAAAGTTTTTTAATTACTAGCCGGAAACTGCAAAAGTAAGGTGTACTGTAGTACTGGTTTGTTGTTTCCATGTTAAAAACAGCTTTTAAAAATGTTTTTTAGAGACTTAATGGTAGAGAGCATTTGAAGGGATGTTAGACTGTAGTTGGTAGAGTTCAGACGAGTGTAAAGGTGTGAAATTAGGTATTCTCGCTCCTTTCTACTTTTACGTCTCCTATGTCGTCACCTCAACCTGACAGCTAGCATTTTCTGGGAGGAAAATTAGCGGTAGGTATAGCTACATGAGGAAGATAGTGCTGCTAGATAAAATTTCCTGTCTTCTCAAGAAGAGAGACATGAAAGGGGACGGAGCATGAGGGAAGAGAGTAGCCGAACGGAGGAGATCGGTACATTGCAGTTTACTTCAACAACTTTATATGCTCAACGAGATGCAAGATTTTTGAAATTGATAAGTGATGAAATGTGATAGCTGATGACTGCAACTTTCCGTGTAAAGATTGATAGGTGCAATAAATTTGGTGCTTGATGACAAGCTGTAAAAGACACCTCAACAAGATCGGTAGTGCAAGCCCATTTCCGATAGTCACTGAACTGTCTTCCATTCTCCGATGTAACTACCTGTTCTCTTATCTAGTCTTCTTTCTCTTCTCTGGTCTCCAACTCCTTCTACACACCTTAATTAATATCTTGGCCAGTTATTTTTGACCATCGATTTGTATAACATTTACATTTAATTCAATTTCATTTAAGCTTTAATTCGAACATTAATGTTCCTCATCTCCAATAAATCACACCTGCTTTACCTTAACTATTATTTTTTCGAAATGAAAGATCTTCTGAAAACGTTTACTTTGAAAATATCAATGAATGATTAGTTCATAGCAAGTTACTATCTGCAAATAGCAAAAAATGATCAAGTTGATTTGTAAATCTTCGCACTTGTTGTGTCACTGTAACTGAGAGAGTCAGATCATTCTTTGCAGAGCTGTGGGAAGGATTTGGAAATAAGAAAGGGTGGAAGTAATTAAACTGTTGTTGGGCCAACGCATGGACAACCCACTGGTGGTAATGAAAGAGATTTCAAAAGACAGTTTCCATTGCTTTATAAATAAATATATTACAATGCCATTAATCCTTCCAATTAATGAAGTAATGTGGCATAGTTTATTGGATTCTTCCGCATAACTCTATATTATTATGTTACGGGAAATTCTGGATAAATGAACTTTGTCATTAGTTTAAGTCCAAATTTCATCTCCATCAATTGTTATTTTGAACAGATTATTCCGTTCGATTAATTTTGACATGTGTTAGAGAATAGTCTTTTAGTAAGGTATGCTACTATCTTATTGTCATATCTTCCCCATAATATATCTGATGCAATGCTGTCATGCCTGTTTGGAAGCAGTTTTTACCGGAAGAAAATGTTGCCATCTTGTTTGTCACTTCGTTACATTTGTTGCATCCTAAATTTCTCTCCACTTTTTTTTTTTGAAGCGAGAATTTCCTAGTAAAATTTATGGATTGACTGATAATGATTTATATGTTTTGACACAAAATTCCGGAGACAATCTAATATGGGTAAGCTATCTACTACTGGAAAATAAAGCCATTCATATGCATACTTCTTCAAAATGGTGACAATAGTGTCAGGATGCGTTAGTCACAAATGTTATTTCCTTAATAGATTATCAGTGACGAAAAGAGTATCGAAAAATTGTGAATTGTATAATAATAGAATATATCGTTATGTATAATAATAGAAGATATCGTTATATAATAGAATATATCGTTCTGGTTACATATCTCTCAGAGATGTCAAATTCGCCAAAAATGATTTCTTAGCCGGAAAGATTCACATCTTTGACCAACGATATTTTCCAATCTATGTAAACTGTTAATTTCAATTTGCTAATGGTTTAGATCGATCATAATAACTTATACTCTGAATTGTTTTTTGGTTAACTAAAAAAGTGTTACAAAATTCTAGAAAAATAAAACGCTGCGCCCTTCCTAACTTTTTGGCCTTTCTTAAAACTGGTCCGTTTGAAGTTAATTAGTTCATCGGTAATTCGCACGACGAAACGCAGCTACCTGTCATCTTTGGGTTTTAATCTTCGAATGAAATAAAATTGGGTCATACCGATCGCGGTTTTTGATATCAGGAGGGCATATACAAACACAATGCCTTCTCATGCCAAGTAACAAATAATCCATTCACTCATTTCGTTGTTTACTCGTTTACGATAAATCTGGCCTGGATATCTCACCACAACATGGTAACAATAATATTAGCTTCACAATGTCGAAGTACGATAAGATGTATATTCAATCAAACTCTCAGACGACGTCGTGTCGTTACCGATAGTTTGAATCACAGTAAATAATCCTAAATTGATCAAAAAATCATTGCATGATGTCCAAAATCGATGGACTTCGAAAAGTTTTGCACCGTATAGGATAGCATTTCAGCGAAACTGAAGCTATAATATTAATTGACACGGTCGACTCTTTCTATTCATTCTTATTCGCATTTTAACAACGTTTTGAAAATTGGCAATTTTCGAGAAGCTTTTGTATAAATTACTTTTTCTAATAAAACTAATGTTCATAATCTGGTGTACAATTAAAAATTATTGTGATTTTATGGTTGTTTTGGTGATAACATTTGAATGACCAGCACATTTATGAATGGATGAGAACTGAGTGAAGATGGCTTCCATGCTTGAATGATGCAAGGAAAACAATAGAAAATACGAAACAGTAGTGAGGAAGAAGGTTTCGTACGGATCATGTAGTAGTATTGGCACATCATCAGCGATTGAAAGTACCGATTTCATCGAGTCGACCGACACCTTCTCATTTGGCATACCTATTGTACCGACCGACCTATCTCTGCTTGATTGTCACCGCAAGCCACACCCTTTTCGTTGCCTCCCTCAAACTTCAATCTTGTCGTCTTTGTCGACGGCATCATCGATGCCGTGTCGTCATCGTTGGTTTCGCTTGGCTTTGTCATTGTTACGTATCAGTTTCACCTTCTCATCAAAATGTCGATAGCCATGTAATAGTTGTAGTTCACTGAATGAAAAGCTGTCAAGATGGAGCATGGTGAAATAGATAACCAATTTTAATATGAGATTTGAATGGAAAAATGGATGGTTCGAGGGTGGACTGATGGATGGAGGAGAATGGATTAATAGATGGATGGATAAAGTTAGATGGATTGGTGAATAGATGAATGCTATAATATTGTTGCTCATACTTTTGACCCAGGATGAGGAATTGGAGAGTGACGAGAGGTACCTCTGGATCTTGTTTATAGATATAGAGAACAGCGGAAAGGGGCGGTGCGTTCAGTGTATGCGTGGTGCAAAATTACACCTTAACCAAACAGGTTTGACCGTTATTGTGGCCATCGCGGTTTGTGTACCACTGCTTTCTAGTATATTCACGCTGTCGCTAAATAAAATACTAAGAACAGGTGGTACCAGGTACCAAAGAACCGATGATCCGCTCTAGATATTTGGCTTATAATTCGAACCGTTTTTGTTCACCTCCTCATGCCTTCCCTGTAACTTCTAGGTATTACAAGTTCGAAAGATTGAGTAAAAAAGGTCCAGGTTCTCCTCCTAATTCGTTTCCTCATATGAAGCAAGACTTGTTTGTATGGACTTCTTTCGCTTAATTGGCGCAATCGTCGAAATTCACTCTTTTTTGCTTATCATTTTTCTTACATGACAATTGCTCCAGCATATTCCTCATTTATCCATAACTATAATGTGATAAAAATTATAATTCGATTATTCGATCATACCGTCCTGCGTTTTTATCCCGGTTCTGTTCATAACTAGCTGAAAAGAAAAATTTGTCAGCGATCTGGTCAAGTTTCAGATCAAGACCTGTACTTCTTTAAAGAAATTAAAGAATTGAATTTTAAAAAAGTTACTTTTGCAGTGGCGATTGGAACTTGCCAGTTGTTTGTATGCAAAAGCTTAGAAACATTCAAACAAAAGACATTCTATTTGGCTGAAGCCAAAAGCTATCCTATCAAACACAGTTTCGTAATTTTACCGTCTTCCTAAAAGTTACTTTTTCCTTTTTTTGATTCCTCCTATTTTAAATTATTCCTCTAACTATAAATTTTGAATTTTAACTGCGCTTTCTAGTCACGACAATATTTTATGGCTAGCAGTAAGCATCTCTAACATCAGTAGATCAACAAAACTGTGCAAAAATTGAAGGATATTTCCATGTATTAACTAATCTTGTAAAACTTTGTCGAAATCCATTAAATTTCTGATGAATATTGATAATTGTATGTATCGTACCAAACATCATGTTGCAATAAGTTATTCTTTTGTCATAATAACGTTCAGATTAATTACTCAGTATTATCCAGACATCTAAATACCAAATAAGGAACAATTATTTATTGGTCCCTATACTTCTGATAATAATCGAATTTATCCGGTTAATGCCTTACAGCAGTTATTAAAACCGATTACATGAATCACAGGATCATCTCATCACTTGTCCAGTTGAGAAAAAAGATATATGGGAGAAATGAATGGAAGAGAGGAAGAATAAACATTTCGGATTACAAGATAAAGATGTGACAGGCTAGAAAGAGCTCAGCGACCCCAATCTTGAAGTGACAGTTCGTTAGGTATCAAAATTAACCATGGCCATCTTTTCTTACATAAAGATCTACCAACCCGGAATGGAATACTGACGCGCACATAGTGACCCAAACAATAGAAATAACAATAATAATCTGTGGCAGTGTTATGTCACCGTCAAAGTTATTGTAGGCAGTAGCAGTAAGAGAAGTTAGTGATGATGGGCAAATATGGGCAATACAGTAAACAGAAAGAACGATGATTATTTCTTCTCATTGATAATGACGCTGTTGAAGGGAGGACTTTGTTTAGGGTAAATATTGGAAATGGTCATTCTAACATTATTAGTGAAAGTGGTCATTCCGGACATGACGATAAAGATGATTGTTCTGAGCCAAACAGCGGGGAGGAGGGAATGAATGGAATCTAAGGTAGAATGATGGATGATGTTCATTTCAAGTATGGTATGGAGGAGGGTCGTTATTCTGGGTACTCAGAGACACAAAAATTATATGACAATCGATACTATCACTTTTTTTTTCTGCTTGCATCTGTTTTCGATCATCATATTAACAGGTTTCCGCTGAATTTCTTCCATTTTTTTTTCTTTACTATTAATTGCTTATCGAAATAACCGATTTAAGCATTCATTTGACGACATTAAAAGACAATCTTTGATGCGGATTTCCGTGTCTTTTTCTCCGTTTTTTTTTTTTAACTCCATCTAGAACAAATATTGCACTCAATCATGTAAAATAGAGAAGAGAACCGTTTTATCTCTGACTAAACTTTTTCGTATTGAGTAGTACCATCGCTTGATTAAATTGAAACCATAACTAAATATTTCTACTTATTTCCTGTTAATATGTTCATCAACGAATGTAAAGCAAGAAAGCACTGTAATGAATGCTAAGAAATAATGTTATTAATAGAATGGCACACAACGATGGCATTTTTTGTTCATTCTAACAATAGTAATAATGTTTAATTATATGCCTTTTTACACTCAATTTTCTAACTTACCACTTCTTATATGGCAACAATTGGCAGTAATCAAAAATTACGATCATAGTATCATTGAAAGCATCAATTGAAGAAGTAAGTATAAGCAGATACTGGAAGTATTGTCATTTATGAGAAACGTTGTAACACATTCCATTCGTCGTTTAGAGTTCGATTTTTTTTCCTTCTTTTTAGCTTATTCAAAATAAACAATTTTCAATTAATGAAAAATTAAGCACAATTTTAGTTGGTGCGATCATTTTTTTGTATTTTCATAACTTAACTATTTGTTAATGAAACCAACTGTTCAACAGGATAGAAAGAAGCAAGGTTATTCATTCTTTTTTTTTTTTTTTTTTGCTTCCAAAACTATCATTGTTCATTTTCCTTAATCTCCTAATTTATGGATTTATCGGAAGAGAAGTAAGTAGAAGGAGCATCAGCCTAATTATCCTATCCATCTTGCAATTTCGTCACATATTCTTTGATATATATCATTGTTTTATCTACTTCGTATCAACAATTATGCTATTAAAGATAGAAAGGTCACTTTTTTTTTGGCCTTTTGCAACGCTTTTGATACGAATCTAGTTCCTGATGATTTCCTATTCTGAGTGATTTGCTTTCCTTTTTTTCTTTTTTTTTTTCAGTTTGAAGCGATCTGAGGAGCAGCAAACTTCATCCTAAGCTTTAAATTACTTTATTCCTTCGCTGCTTTCTGTTTCTTTTCCTATTCTCTTGCTGTCTTGGAAAAGACTAATAGTATTAGCAGCAACAATAACAATAGCACCATTCAAAACGGTCACAATAACAATATGACAAAAAACGGTAGCAACACCACGGAGAAATCAAGCAATCAATCGGATCAGTTATCTGGTGGTTGGGAACGTGTTTCCGAAGAACTTTCCGATTCACAGGTATTAAGTTTTTCTTCTCAATCAAACTGTCTTTTTGAATTTTTGCAGCTATCTTCATAAAATCTTGCGAACAGTTGCTATCAATGTATGTTATCAAATTTTTCAGAAAATAATTCAAGAAACGTATTTATCAATATGCGCATTTCGGAGCAAAATACTTGATAGATGCAAATGACTGATTAAGATTTTCACGGCAAAATTTCTGAAAAAAAAATTTCACATACGTTTATTTTAGAAGTATGCGAGAGTTTCTCTCCCATATGCGAATCTTTTGAGCAGTGATTAGCTTCCGTAAGTATCGAATTATTTCCAAAATTCCAACCACTTGCTAAGCTTAAAATTTTCAGTTGGCCTCTTTTCAATGTTATAACCTTGTGGAAGGAAGCTTGTTACAATATAAACCCTCTTTTTTTGTCACCTAAACCATCATATATCATATTATGTTCAGTTCTAATTTCATCAATTATACCAAAGAGTTAACTGAATAATTGAATAAACTTTTCAACGATTTCTTTCCACATTTAGAGGTTTTGACGTCTTAAATGAAATCAAAATTTCCTCAGAAACCTAAAGGAATTTCAATTTAATTCAAGACTAGAAAAAATAAAAATAAAAAATTTATCCAAAAATCTGCCGCCTGTTATGCGCCAAATAAAACTGGGCGATTATGTCGTCATTAACAATTCTGTCTACTTCCTCTGCCTCCCACCCTCTCACCCTGTTCAAAATTATCTCAATTCTCGTCATCTCTTTAAAATCATTTCTACTCCAATCATCAATTTCCATTTGTTTTTTATTCTTGACCTTTTTCCCAGATTCGGATTCCGTTTAAATTCCTGTTTTCGAATTCACGTTTGCGATATGCACTTTGATAACTTCCCTTTATCAGATGGGAAATCGAAATTTTTCATTTTTTTCATTTCTTATATTCAGAAGTGATCAGCGTTCAACTGTGACAAGATATGCAAAGTTTATCCTATACACTATACCGCTTTTCTGTCATTGTTTTTGAATACCGCACTTTCATTGCATATTTTGATGTCAGTAACAAATGGCTTTTATCTATATCAGGAATTTGTCGCGCATTTTTGGACTGTGAGGTGGAGTGAGAGTTGTATCTTTGTTCCAGATCAGTGACAAATGAGTGCGTTGAAGTGTATAAGTATGCACGCATATCAGAGGTGAAATAAGATTGAAATGTATTCATTTTCGAAATTGCTCAAATAATCGGCCCCTCAAACACGTTTTCATTTTTTTTAAACTCAGTGTTGTCAAAGATAGTAAAATGGGGCAGTAAATTTTGTCACTTCGATGAAAAATGTTAATTTCTGGTTAAAATTACAGTTTGAAGGCTTCACTAGTAGCGACCGAAATTCCTTTTATTCTACCGCAAGAAAGCGATTTTTGGTGAGTTGTAACAGTTTGGAGAAAAATTATCAAGGATGTATTAATGGAGATAAAGCAATGATAATTGGGAATTTAATAGTGATTATAGTTAGAATAGTGACGATAATCGTTTGTTAACGATAGGTTGTGTTGGTGTTCGCCATAATTCTTGATCATATTGATGTCGATGACTTTGTAAGAAAGCACTGATAGCAACTGACGACAGTTTTCGCAAGTTCGGTAACCTGAGAGAAACTGAAATGATAACAGCATGTTGGTTTTACCCATAAAAATTATCTTTATCCTGTGCATCTAATATTTACTTCAGATGGCTTCTTGCACTCATCTTATCATCTGCACCAGTCTCTTTTCCCAAGTAACCTTCCGAGAGTTTCTTCTCTTCAATTCAAAATTCGAAACATCCCAGTGTTTACTAGTGTAGTTTGACGAAATTGAAAAATACCTAAAGAGATGATAACCACTACCTGTAAGCATATCAATCCATACTTAATACTTGTTATTAGAGAAGGCGAGCAAGAAAATCTACCTATCTATCACTTTTGCTGATTCTGTCTGTATGCATATATTGTATAGTTAGATATATGGTTATGGTGATTTGCGAACCTTTCTAAAATGATTTCCCCTATTTATGGGTCAACAGATTTCTGCGTACAATTAGGGAGGGGAAAGGAAGGGGAGGGGTGAGAGCAACAACAAGAGTTTTGAAATGTGAAAGAGATGGGGGGACATAGGACTCCTTGATCAAGAGTCACACATATCTGCAGGAGATAAGAATCAACAGTGAACCGTTTCTAAAATTTGCAGCAACGATGTTACCAAGGTTGCTCCTCTTGCACCAATGATTGTTTGTAATAAGAATTGGTTCGTTTCATTTTCCACCTTCCTTTTTTGTACCAGCAACTAGTTTTAGTCCTAGTTGAGATACCACTGTTGAAACATGCATCCATGATGTCCTTTCGGGACCATCCCCGAATGATGATTTGTCTTTTTTATAAATTATTTGCAAATTACACCCTTCATTTCAGGATTTTTTTTTTCAAACCATCAAATAGTTTTCTTCATTTCCGAGACAAAAAAGGAGAGAACGGTCACTTCCGATTCTTCTTTTGAAACTTATATTCTTTCAAAGAAGATCGACAGTGAAAAGTTGCATACTTATGGCATAATATCTGTTCCACTTTATGTCCGACACTGTTTTCATTTCCATGATTTTTCTAATTTAAATAATACATTATCATTGAAAATGAACACTTTGGATCTTCCTGATAAAATTTCAAATTCCTGAAGTTAAAAGTTCATGAAAAAATTCAACAGATAGTAGAAAGGCTCATACACAATGACCTTGTATCTTTTATTCCAAATAGTGTAGCTGGAAACCAAAATTGGGTTTCTGGGTGCCTGGGAGGGGCGAGTTTTTAGGAGTTGTCGGGAGGAAGACGATAGGGATGGGTGCTGCGGTAAGAGAGGTATGAGGGTTGGGAGGGGGAAAGAAGGGGATGAAGACGGAAGTTGAGAGTGTTACAACTTAGGTACGTCATAAATCACCAAGCCAGCTCGAGTCAATCAACTGATCACTATTACGCAATCTTCCATTTTTCTGTAAAAATTTTTGTATAACCTGGAAAGGTTCTCAGGCGCATATTGTAAGCAATTTACTAATCTAACTTTTGAAAAACAAGAGAAGAAATTGTTTCAGATTTAATTTACTAAGATTATCTGTAGGAAAAAATGTTGATGAGAAGCGAATGAGAAGCATAAGTATATACTATACAGTAATTGGGAATGAAAAGCATAGGGTGTCGTGCTTACTTCCAGAGACTTTCTCATTGGTCATATTCTTTTCACACTCTTGAAAACGGCCAACCTCCAATTGGTTCTCATTTGCGCATTTAGCCTTTGATCAGCTTCATTTTTCGCTGGTGTACTGATTTTATTTATGGAATTATTATTTTTTTATGCATGACTTAAATTCTCCTTTCATACAGTTATATCACATTAACGTAGACTATGAAATGAACTAAAAAATGATAATTTAGAAATATTTGGTAGTAGAAATACAGAAGTTAATCATTCTTTAAAAGATTGTTATCTGAAGGAACCATCGGAATCACCATCATATATATTACATTTGGCTCCCGTCTCTCAACACTATTCGCCGGATGAGGGAGAAAAAAAATGCGCTGTTCAATGCCTCTCCGGTCAATTTTTTCATATTGATATCAGTCTTTTTTGTTCTCCTTACGACATTCAATTTCTTACCTTCTTTTAGTGTCATTCTTTGTGCTCTTTCTTTACCGATCATATCTTCTACTTAACGTGTTTTCTCCATACTTTTGAAAAAGAAAGAAAGAAGAGGACCAAGTGTCATTTCACACCTCCCCGCATTCCCAATTTTATTATGCCCTGGTTTTTAGTCTCCATAAAAATTTTCAATTTCATTTGAACTTTTCATCGTTGAAATTATGAGATCATTCAGTACAGGTAATGGCACGACTATGTGTTGTAGATGGTCATGCATAGGACTAACGATCTCAGCTTTTAAACCATTTCATTTTGACACGATGGATAGTTAAAGCTATCCGAGATATCTCAATATGTACTAATAAAAATAACAAGCATGATTAAAGTTGTTCGAATTGATGAAGTCTTTGTTTTGATAAAGTTAAATTTTAAATTAAATTATCGATCCTGTACAGCACCGATTGAACTAGGAAATGAAAACAGGCGGAAAATCAAGCTTGGAAAATAGACGGTGTTGATTGAAACATATATGTAAATTGTTGAGGAAACAATCAAAAATTGAAATTGCATACGTATGTTATTTTAAGGATGATTATTTTATTAGTTTTATGCATGGTAGCATCCAAATGTACTAATTTCAAATCGATGTTTCAGTCAAACGGAAGTATGAATTCATCGGGTGAAGTGCCGTTTTGGCGAGATCAGGAAGAAATTGTCATCACCGGCATTTCTGGGCGTTTTCCACGCTGTGAAAATGTTCAAGAATTCGGTGACTTGCTAATGGCTGGTGAAGATCTTGTTACCGAAGATAATTTACGCTGGCCACCTGGTAATTGCATATTTTAGTTGTTATAGCATTTATTTTTTCCTATTTTATAATTTTTACCAAATATCGGTGAGTTTTGGATTATCAACACTTCATTCAACTGCTTTATTTCCAGGAGTTTTCGATTTACCAAAGCGTCATGGAAAATTGAAAGATTTAAAAAAATTTGATGCGCAATATTTTGGAGTAACACCAAAACAGGTACACAATTTATCATGTTCGAACAAAAAAGACATTAAGTCAATTTAGAAGCTTGCCATAAATAGAACAGTGGTGCTAACTTTAGAATTGCTATTGTGGTTCATTGCTTCTGATTGATTTGGTTTTGATTTTTAATCGACTTGCCAGTATTTTATAACTCCGATTTTCTTGAAAATGTTAGATTTAACTGATTTAGGCTAATTATTTGGATCCTCAAGTACGGAAATTGTTAGAAGTGACTCTGGAGGCGATCATCGATGCTGGTGAGTTGAAATAAGTCTTAATTATTTATTACGATTCATGTTAAATATGCTATCACATTTTTCCTCCTTCATTAACCAGATATTGAAAAGTGAATGATTTTGAAAGTGTCCTTTCATTTCTGTTCCATCTTCCATTCAAATATAACCTTTTTGTTATTTAAATTTCAAAATCTATTAATGAGGAAATTGGAGAAAACTAAAATAGCAGCAGCAGCAGCAGCAGCAGCAGTAGCGGCTCAGAAAGCTGAACAATTTGATAATTGAAACGAATTTTGAATTAATTACGTATTAGATTGGTGAGTAAAATTAGGAAGAAAAAGCAGCAAACAATATACGCGTATATATTGCATTTATAAATTCATGAATTCATCAGTCCAGTCTAGAGAATGATGTCCTTTTATACCACTCAACCTTGAACAAGAACTTTCTGCTCATTACAGCCACCGTATTAACATCATCCCTGTCACAGTAGATAGATCAATCTGTACATTCTTCTCACTCATATTTTTTTTAATGATATTAACCTAAAAAAAAAAAAAATGAAGTTATTTCAGTGTTCATCATTTCCATTCACAGCATAATTCCTTTTTAGCTTAATAGTTTTATTGCATTTCTACAAAGAACCAAAAAAAAAATTGACAAGGAAAAGTTTAAAAACGTATGCGAAAGTTACTTGGTATCGTTCCAACATTCTGCAAAATGGCAATGACTAGAAATTGATAAGTTAGATGTCTTCATTCAGTGTGGTGTTTAATGTTGAAATCACAGCCTTTCTCCCACCATCAGTTCTGCAGTACATTAAGCAAAGACGTCATAATGACGCATTCCTGTCTTTATTTTTCTTTCACACGACGTTCCAACGTTGGATCATAGATCGTTGTAAAATGTTGCAAGCAGGGTGAAACACGGAAGAGCAAAAAGGAAATGTCATATTACAGTACTGCACTGAGCCATCTTTGAATATTTGGTTGAGTAATGCTGGTAAGAGTACCGATGAGATGAAAATGAATGATTGAATATAAACTATAAACTAAAATTTGTTTTTTCTTGTGCTAATCATTCAAGTATGATTAATGCGTTGATAAGAAAAGAATAGTGTTTTAATTTTGTTTTAGAAAGATTTAAATCACTTATTTGCTTAAATTTAAAGATCAAATGAGATAGGGTCACTGATCTGATTTTCAGACATCCTCCCGGGACGATACTACTTTTAACAAGTTGGCGCATTTTGTATGTGCTACGTTTGCAACAATTTTACCTCAACTTACTTTGACAAATGCAGAATTGAGTTATGCCCAAACATTAATATTTGATGCATTTAATGAATGTCAAATTTTAAACCTTACTCGCTTGTACATTTAACATGTATCATAGTTTTTTATTTGTTTAACCATTCTTGCCATCAGGAAAAGGAAGCGAAATGCAGGGAATTTGTACGATTCATAAATTAAATGGCTAATTAATTAATTAATATAGATGAAACTTTGTTATATTGTTACTTTTGATCTTTTGATCTCTCCCTAACAAAGAAAATTAGCGACACTATTATGCGATAGAGTATGACCGAGCTGTTATCATGTAATTTGGATGAGAAGTAGAAGTACTCGTTTTTAGACCAAAAAAAAAGAAAAACGTTTTTAAATATAAAATTCTGGAGTTTGATTTATTTCTTCATAAAATAATGATAATATTTAATATTAATTTATACGCAATAGAAGTGATCATCAGAAATTACATACCTCCTTTTCCAATATTAGATCATTTTTTTTTAAAGATTGGAATGGATTTTGTAAATTTCAATCTTCTTCTTTATTTTCATTTAAATCCAAACTTTTAACTTCCTTTGATGAATGTCGAATTTAGGCTTCCATTCGCTTATGCAACATAGCCTTTTTGATTTTGATACCTCAAGAGAATTGTATATACATAAGAGACTAGATTCTGAAATGTCAGCGTTTCAGAATCCTAGAATCCTAAAAATACAGGATCTCACTAAATCCCGAAGTTAACGCCATCTTGATATTTAAGGGGGAGGAAGGGAAGTATTCAGAAGTCATCATCTTTCTTTCGTTTTTCTCGCTTCCTGCCAATGAAAAAGAAGGGGAAGTTTTATATTTATATCATTGAATTTGCATATTTTTTAATTATTAATGTATACTTTCATCAACACTTTTTTGCGTCACTGTTCAGATACAGAGCAATTAAAGTTGATAAACGTTTTACGGACGGCCTTAATCTGCGCCCATACTGCAAGAGATCCATCTCATTCAGATGTGGATGATATTTGGGGGTGGACAGTGGCTCGAGTTTCACATTCTAAAATAGAGAGCAAATATGCACCAATGCATAACAAATACATCACCATGCCATCAACCCCTTTCATCTATAATGTCTACCTACAATAGCTTAATTGTACTTCACCAATTGGAATTGAATTTGCACTAAAAAATGATTTGGGAAAGTGAAGCTGAAGGAGCGAAATGTTGAGCGAGAGAAAGAAGTAAAACATGCTAATTGGTATCTCACCAAAGAACTGCTCAGTAATTTGATGTATTTCAGGTTTAAATCCAACTGAACTTCGTGGTTCAAGGACAGGTGTCTTTGTGGGTTGTTCAGCGTCTGAAACTGGTGGTGTATTAACTCAAGATCCAGAAACCGTTACTGGATATACATTGACAGGATGCGTACGCTCAATGTTCAGCAATCGCCTTAGTTTTACGTTCGATTTGAGAGGTTGTGAATTTTTTTCACTTGAGAAGCAGGTGTTAGTATGAGGAACAAGAAAAAATTCATTGAGCACTGAAATCTCATTTGCTATTTTTCCTGTGAATTTTCTCGAATAGTTAAGAGGTATCTAAACTTTGTAATTATTTGTTTTAATAAAAAAAAAACCTGCAAACAATCATTTTAAATTAGACCTATTAGCGAATTAAAGGACATGTGATTTAAATATAGAAATCATGAAAGTTGAAGGTAGTAGTAAGCTAGTTTGAAGTTAAAGTCTGCAAACCTAGACATGTCAATATCATGCTTTAATCTATAATATAAATAAGTTTTGAATTTTATACAAATTATTGTTCCTTAGGACCGTCTTTCTCTGTGGATACAGCTTGTTCTTCATCTTTATGCGCGCTTCAATTAGCTGTCGACGCGATACGACAGGAACAATGTGATGCGGCAATTGTAGCTGGCGCTCATCTAACTTTAACACCTACAGCAGCTTTACAGTTCCTTCGGCTTGGCATGCTTTCCGATAAAGGGAGCTGCCGTTCATTCGACGCTTCGGGTATTCATTAAGTTTTGCAACATATCGTACAGAATTCAATATCCCGAAACAATGAAAAGAAAAAAAAATCAAATCAGTTGGGACTGCTTGAATCCAAAAAATAATATAACTCTGTGAGCTTTGAAATGGTTTCCAGAACGCTTTAGCTGATCAGTGTTTTTACTGTTGCCGATGTATTTTGCATTTTGGAAATAGTTGCATTACATGACGAAGACGTATTTTGAGGTGATGGATATTGTCGCACGGAAGCGGTTGCTGCAATATTGCTTCAGAGGCAGTCAGCAGCTAGACGAATTTATGCTACTGTAATTCATGCAAAAAGTAATACTGATGGTTACAAGGAGCAGGTATGTTACAGATCCTGACTTTATATGCCAAACTTTTTTTTTTTTCGAAAAGAAAATGAATCTACAAATTTTCTGAACTTGAATTGGAAAAAAGACTGTCAAATTACCTAAATAGAAAGTTATAAATTTCAGGGCATTACTTTCCCATCAGGTGAACGACAGGCAGCATTATTAGAAGAAGTATATCGTGAGGCTGGAGTTGATCCTAATACAGTGACATATGTGGAAAGTCATGGAACGGGTACGAAAGTTGGTGACCCTCAAGAAGCAAACGCAATATGCCAAGTTTTTTGTCAGAACCGGTAAGCTTATAAAATTATGATATTATTTATGGGACAATTTTTAGTTTTTAATTTGAAAAATTTTTAGAAATACCGCACTTCTTATCGGTTCAGTTAAATCAAACATGGGTCATGCAGAACCGGCATCCGGTCTATGCTCAATTGCAAAAGTTCTAATAACAATGGAGCGTGGCTTTATACCCCCAAACTTACATTATAATGAGCCTAATCCATATATTCCTGGTCTTGTTGATGGTCGATTACAGGTTTCACAATACATTTTCAAGTTTACACTATTCTTATATTACAATTCAATCGCGTGATTACCATATTTCATCATTTCTTTAGTTTCTCTTTCTCTCCCTAAAATTGTTAATTTAGGTGGTTACTGAAAAAACACCATTCCAACGCGGTTTAGTTGGTATCAATTCGTTTGGCTTTGGTGGCAGTAACACTCATATTATACTTCGTCCAGCAAATCATGCAGAACGTAAATCAGCACCAACAACATTTATGAAAATCATTCCTTATTCTGGAAGAACGGCAGAAGCAGTAAACAGCATTTTCGACTGTGTTTTAGCCCATCCAGAAAATGTTTATTTGCAACAGCTATTAGCAAATCAGGCTAATTTGCCCGCCAAAGATACACCATATCGTGGTTATATGATTATTAATCGTGATAAAATCCCTTATCCACCAGATGCAAAAAAAGATCCAGAATTGCCACCTCTTCGAGATGTACAAAAAATAATGATCACTGAGCCAAAACAGATTTATTTCATTTACTCAGGTTAGTTTTGAACGAAATAATTACCTCAGCTCATTTTTTGCTTGTATACCACTCATGTTATTTGAATCTTTAATTTCATTTCTGATTTTTGTTTAGGCATGGGTAGTCAGTGGGCCGGTATGGTGAGGCAGCTTATGTCAATACCTGCTTTTAATGAATCATTGAGAAGTTCCAGTGATGCCGTCGTCGATTTTGGTGTCAATGTTTATGAGATGCTACAGATTGATGACTCAAGCTTTTATAAAAATAATACATTGAATTGTATGCTCGCAATTACTGCCATACAGGTTAGAAAAGTAACAATTGGAAAACTAAACTCTGAAGTTGCATTTCAATTTAGCTTTTTTGCCTAGAATACTTCAATTTGAGTGTAATGTCCATTTTTGTATGATAAATGAAAATTGAGATTATAATTTCAGGTACTTTTCAATGTTACTTTACAAATTAAGGACTGTAATTGTTTTTCCAGATTGCTTTAACAGATGTACTCTTCCTATTGGGTGTTACACCAGACGGAATAATTGGGCATTCGACAGGTGAAATGTGTTGTGGATATGCTGATGGTGGGCTTACACGTGAGCAAACGATGCACTTAGCTTATCATCGCGGTCACACAATTATGAACGCAAATATCAAAGGTGGTATGGCTGCTGTAGGCCTATCATGGTGAGAGATATTGGTTTTGAAACTTCATAACACATCATAACTTTGGAGGCTTTTAAAATTCTAGCATTCTTGCTTACTAAAACATCTGTGGATTTGAACATTTACGAGCATGGCATTATGAATCGTTTCGTTTCTTACTTAGTTAAGATAAAAATGATCCATGGATTTATTTTAATCTAATTGTTTTGATAACTTATTAGATAAAAGATCAATGAGGCTATCGATTCACAAATAAGAGATTTGCAAATTTTCCATATCATTTACTCTTGTCGCCGATTTTCTTCAACCGTGATAATAACTGAGGGTTCTTTCTGTTTCTTCGGGTAGTAGTATCTTAAACTTCGGTAATCTAACCTTTATTACGATAAGTTTATTGATACAACAACGAACTTGCAATTACGACATCGATGCAACAATTTAATGACGAAAACACTAAGAACAAAGAAGACTAAATCATGCCTGATACCCTTATATCGAACCGACCTCAATGAAATTTCTCGAGTGGGAGGGTCCTTGTACCGTTTTATGATTACATGAATTATCATCCTAATGGAGGGCCTATTGGTATAGAGTTCTTTGTTAGCTGAATTGTAGGATGATATGAGCATATAAAACAAAGATGTCTGGCTTTCAAAAAAAAGGGAGATTATTGTCCCTTTGTTTCTACTCGTCGATATCAGTGACAACTGTCATGCATACTTTAAACTAATTAATATATATGCCGTTTTTGTTAAAGGAACTAATGGATATTATGCAGAATGGAAGAATATTTACGATTCAGTTTTAAGGCTTATTGTCTTATACTGTATATTGCTAGTAAAATAATTTGATTCAGGGAAGAAGCCACAAAGCGATGTCCAGAAGGTGTTGTTCCAGCCTGTCATAATGCTGCTGATTCAGTAACAATTTCTGGTGATGCTGAAAAAATTGAAAAATTTGTTGAAGAACTTAAAAAAGAAGATATATTTGGAAAAATTATCGATTCGTCAGGAATTCCATTTCATTCACCAGCTATGCTTAAGGTATTTCGTTTGCCGGGATGTTGATATCTTTCCTGCAACCATCTGACTGCAGATTGCAAATACACGGGGTATCTTGTTAAGGTAGGGAGCTAAGCTAGTTTCAGGTTTCGAAAAAAAAGTTTCGAGTTTTTAAGGTGTTAATGCCTTTTCTTTCGTTACTTTTGTCGTGTTTGTTATAAATTGATTAAATAACATTAAATAAGATATATCATCAAATCATCATTAATGATAGCATAATTCAGCAAAACTGGGATAGTGATTCCAAGATTATTTCAAAGAAATTTGGTTAATTTCAGGTCAAAGATAAAATGCTTAAAGCTATGCGTACAAGCGTCCCAGATCCAAAACCGCGATCCTCTCGCTGGATTTCAACCTCAATTCCAGAAAGTAATTGGGAAAATGAATTGGCGCAAATGTGTTCAGCTGATTACCATACTAATAATGCTATAAGCCCAGTACTTTTCTATGAAGCACTTCAAAAAATACCAGCAAATGCGGTAACAATTGAAATCGCACCGCACTGTTTGATGCATGCAATCCTGCGTCGTTCGCTGCAGAAAACCTGCACTAATGTGGGTCTAATAAACATGAAAGAAAAAAATCGAGAACTGGAATCATTTTTACAGGTGAATCTTTTAGTGCTGCATTTACTGTTTTGAAAATGAGAATGTCGAAAACTATCATGTAATGATAATGCTAACAACGAAAAATTTTGATTCAAATCAAATTTATATATTTTTGCTATAATGATTCCATCAGTTATTTCTGGAAGTATTTAGCTTCATTCCGCTCTAGGCTTTGGGAAAGATTTATCAAACAGGAATAAGCATTCATATCGAAGCCTTATATCCAGCTATACAATATCCCGTACCGATTGGTACACCCATGATATCTCCTATGTGGCGCTGGGATCACAGTCAGGATTGGCCCGTTATCGACAGTAAAACGCTTTCAGTTGCAGGTGGCAGACAATTACCAACATCATACTGTTACACAGTTGATCCGTTTGCACCTGATTCAAAGGTACGTCGAAACTTTTCAGCAGTAATTATAGTCCCAAATAAAATACTGCGAATAAAGCAAAGAAAGAGCTGGAAGGACCAAGGAACAATTTAACAACATTAAAGGAGCTGGTCAAAAAAACAATGATCACATAATAATAATAACAATAATTATATGAGCAATAACAATAACAATAACAATAATAATAATAATAATAATAATAATAATAATAATA